AGGTCTACAGCTCCGTGCGCTGGAGGTTTCCCATTGTCTTCCAGTCTTTCTTCACTATTCTCGTCATGTACGTATACCTTCTCCTGTTCCTCAGAGCATACGACTAACATGATCTCAGGATCGGTCTTTGCTTCCTGCCCGACTCGCCAAGATGGCTCGTAATGCGCGGCCGCCACGCTGAAGCCCGACTCCTACTCGCTCGCCTCGCCGGTACATCTGCGGACTCGGAAGAGGTCGATACGGAGCTCACAAACATAAAGGATGCACTGGAAGCGCAAAGTAGGGATGGTCCATTCAAGATGAAGGAGCTTCTGCACAATGGCCCCAGTCAGAACCTTCGGCGTACGCTATTGGGAGTGGCATCGCAGTTCTTCCAACAGATCAGCGGTATCAACCTCATCGTACGTACGCCTTCAGATATCGTAGTGGTAAACCACAAACTGATCTTGCTTTCACTAGACCTACTACGCAACCTACGTCTTCGAGAACTCACTCGGTTTTGGCCCCGACATGTCCCGTCTCCTGTCCGCCTGCAACGGTACCGAATACTTCCTCGCCGGACTAGTCGCAATTCCGCTGATCGAACGAGCTGGTCGTCGCAAACTCATGCTCTTTGGTGCGTTCGGCATGATGGCTAGTATGGCTATCATGAGCAGCATGACGTCGACGGCCACCGAGAACGAATTTGGTGCTCCGGTCTTAGAGCCCAAGTACGGCATCACGGCTGTGGTCTTCATGTTCGCCTTCAACACGTTCTTCGCGATCGGTTGGCTGGGAATGACATGGCTCTACCCTGCCGAGATCACTAACCTCCGCATCCGTATCCAAGCAAACGCACTCTCTACCTGCTCAAACTGGATCTCCAACTTCGTCATCGTCATGATCACGCCCCCAGCGTTCGCGAATCTGCAATACAACACCTACACCATGTTCGCGGTCTTCAACGCCTGCCTCATCCCTAGCGTCTACTTCTTCTTTCCCGAGCCCAAGGGTCGCAGTCTGGAAGAGTTGGATGTCATCTTTGCGAGCGCGCATCATGAGGGCATCAATCCGGTCAAGCAAGCGAAGGAGATGCCTAAGCTGATGGGTAGGGAATTGGACGTGGAGATTGCGAGGTATTTTGGCGGTGATGTGGAGGAGGCGAGACGGAGGAGTGTGACGAGTGCTGGGATTACAGCGTGATTCAGCCCGAAAGATGCGGATAGGCCGTCATACGCTGGGTAGGAGTAACCTCGGTGTTGTGCGTTTCACACATAAACCTCTCAATGTCCGGAGATTTGAGCATTAGTAAATGCCGCCAACAACATTGCTCATTTTAAGCTAATACCTCTGAAGACGCGAACAATTGCTGTTATGCCCGCGTGTACCCGCCTGTATACTCATCCGCTTGAAGCCTGATTCAACAAGACACCGAGATACCGTGCCGTGTTGCCCGTATTGCGAGCGATCTACTTGCTGACTGCGATTGTCCCCACCCAGCCACTTGCTACTGGTCTGTGCGACCAGACACCACTCACCCATCTGAACTAAGCCTTGGCCATCTCGAGTTCCTAATGCGACGAGCCATGCGATTTGACTTCCTGACGCAGGAAAAAGCCTACAGTTCCAGGTAATCGCCTCAGTCGCCAAAGCCACAATTAAAGCCTACCGCTCGGTCGGAGTCAGCACAGGACTGGGCTGTGGCATGTGGCGGGGCATCTCCCGGCCTCTTCCCCTCCCTCCACCTCCACACACCATCGACAGCGGACGGCTCATCAAACTCGGTGCCAGCCTCCCGTCCAATATCACGCCGAAATCATGACGTCGATAAGCTTTGCCCGCCCGGTAACAAGCAAGACAAGCCTTGGCAAAGGGCCTTGTTCCGCCGCTGTGCATAGCGAGCTTCTTCTTTGGGTAAGGAGCTCATTATGCGCGCTGCAGCAAGCTTTGGGGCTTGTGGATACGAGGCTTCAACGTCAACGCGATATTGTCGCAAAGCACCGCAGGAACTAGGTGTGCGAGCATCATGGGTGTATTTGCAACTTGAAGAAAAGAGTGCAAGAAGACGGCACAATGATTATTGATGGTCGTGCAGGTGAAACAGCTCTATCACCCCGCCAGGGACGTGCCGGTACATCCTAGCCGAACTTCCTGAGCACTGCTCCCAGCACACAGCCGGAGGATCTTCAAAGGCACGTTATCCGGCCAATAATTGCACAGAACGTCCGCAGTTGCCTGATCTAGACTACTTTCCTGTATCCCAACCCGCGGCTCGCAGCATACGACCATGTAGTCTGACGTTGACCCAGCGCTGAAATACGCGAGAAGCATGCGTAGCTAGATGAGCCGGTGTACGCAAAGCCGCTTGGCTTCGTAGTAAGGCCGTGTATATAAAGAGGTGGAGGGCACTACTTTGCTGGGCAAGCATTCGCTGAAGTCTTGGTTGCTCTTCTTCCCGACAAGCTTCCCACCATGGCGCGCTTCGCTCAACTCGCCGCCGTTCTGGCCGCTGCTTCGCTAGCCAATGCTCGCGCGCCGTTCATCAAGGAACGCCAAGTGCCCGCTGACCCTACCGGCGTCACGACCATTACATCTGCTGCTGGTGCTAAGATCACGTACAAGCAGCCTGGCAAGGCGGGTGTGTGCGAGACCACCGAGGGTGTCGACGACTATGCCGGTTACATCAGCCTCAACCCGACGACGAACATGTTCTTCTGGTTCTTTGAGGCTCGCGAGAACCCTTCTGAGAAGCCATTGGTAAGTACTGTGTTCGTGAAGCGTTACTGCAATGTGTACTAATCACATTGTCAGACCTTGTGGTTGAACGGAGGACCCGGAAGTGACTCTCTCATTGGTCTGTTCCAGGAACATGGCCCTTGCAACGTCACCGAGGACTTGAAGACACAGCTAAACCCTTACTCGTGGAATGAGCGCAGCAACATGCTGTACCTTTCACAGCCCGTGGGTGTCGGCTTTTCCTACGAAACCACCGAGACGGACGAGGATGGCCGCTACTCGCTCGTCGACCCGGACACTGCGAACACCACCGATGCTGCAGCAATTGGTGCATGGCACATTCTCCAGGCGTTCTTGGAGCTGAGCCCGCAGCTCGACCCCGATATCACCAACTTCACTTTCAACCTCTGGACTGAGAGGTAGGTCATATGATTATCTAGATATGAACTCAATGCTGACACTCTCGCCAGCTACGGAGGCCACTACGGTCCAGGTTTCTACAACTACTTCTACCAACAAAATGAGAAGATCAAGAACGGCTCATGTGCCGGTGTCGAAGTCCAGATGGACACTCTCGGTGTCATCAACGGTATAATTGACGAGCAGATTCAGGCCCCCTACTACCCCGAATTTGCCGTCAACAACACCTACGGCATCAAGGCCGTCAACGACACCGTCTACACCTTCATGAAGAACGCCTACTACATGCCCGAAGGCTGCCACGACCAAATCGAATACTGCAAGCAATCCGACCGCACCACCGAAGCCGGCTACCTCACCTGCGCGCAAGCCACCAACCTCTGCCGGTCCCTCGTCGAAGAGCCCTACTACGCCTTCGGCGGCCGCGGCGTCTACGACATCCGCCACCCCTACGACGACCCCACGCCCCCGGACTACTTCGAGGACTTCCTCAACATGGCCTCCACCCAAGAAGCCATCGGCGTAAACATCAACTACACGAGCACCAACGCGCCCAATGTCTCCTACGGCTTCTCCACCACGGGCGACTTCGTCTTCCCCAACTTCCTCGAAGACCTCGAGGAGATCCTCAGCTACGGCGTGCGCGTCGCCCTCCTCTACGGCGACGCAGACTACATCTGCAACTGGTTCGGTGGCGAAGCCGTCTCCCTTGCTGTCAACTACACAGACTCTGAAGCTTTCCGCGCTGCGGGCTACACTCCCTTCCTTGTTGATGGCGTTGAGTACGGTGAGGTGCGCGAGTATGGTAACTTCTCGTTTACTAGAATCTATGAGGCGGGTCACGAGGTGCCGTACTACCAGCCTGTGGCTAGTCTTGAGCATTTCAAGAGGGTGCTGGATCATGTTGTTATTGCGGATGGAAGTCAGGTTGTTACGGACGACTACAGCACGAATGGCACGGCGGAGGCTACTCATACTGAGGAATATGTTCCTTTGCCGCCTACGAGCACGCCGAGTGCTAGTGCTGTTAGTAGGGTTAAGAGAGGCTCCGCATAGATAAGTGGTTGATGTAGATGGTTACATGTAAATATGCAATCTACCGCGCTTTACAGATCGTGCTTTGCACCGTGCCGCCTACTGTTAGTGCGTCTTTTGCAGCTCAAGGTGGCCTTATTACTTGAGTACTCGAACTATCGTGCCACATACCTCCAAAGGTAACAGGCTTCCAAGGTTGCCAAATCCCATCTTGTCACGTGATACAAAAGCTTATGACCCAACCTTGGAACTTCGCCAATTCGAAAAAATTACTTACCATTGACAGGTTTGATGAAATAGTTCGCTACGAAAAAGTCCTTGGATACGTGCGAGATCCAGTACAACCTCGTGCGCATCCATCCATGGACATTTGTTCAAGAGACCGGTGACGTCACATGTCTCAAAGCTACGCCGCATTCTCGCTGCACGCTCCCTGGCGACGTGCTTCAGCCACCACCACCATCACGAATCCGGCTTCCCTTCCATGCGCACTCGTGAAAAGGACAAGCATTCAGATGCGTATCGTGCATGCGCAAGCCATTCTCGGCAGAAATGTTGAAGTTACAGCCCTGGACATGTCGACACGAGAGGTTGTCGACGCGTAACGTTCGCGCATCCTGTTGACGGCAACGCGTCTCAAAAAAGAGAAGCCACACATGCTGACGCCAAGATCACAACGCATCTACCTGCAAGCACAGCCCACGCCACTTGGGTCGAGAGTCAGGATATGGTGAGGCTGTGTCGGCCCCCAACATAATGTCTTACTCCCCAAGCTCTCTGGCCCCTCTGTCCTGGGGTTATACTCAACGGTCGTACGGCGCTTATACAGCATGTACAAGCAGCTGCAGGCTCAGGAAGATCCAAGTGGAGATGCACGCAGGGTAGAAGGGCTCGTAAGGTACGCGTCCACTTTGTGTGACCACGAATAGCACAAGCTGATAAGACGTCATTAGGGCAGCATCCACGAATGCCCAGCGGTACAATGTCTCTACAATCGAAGGCAAATCGGATACACCAAACGCGAAGCGTCCAACCTACCAGCTGGCCAACGACAAGGCATACCACGATGACGAGTTTCTCCTACTGGCAAGACCGCTGGAGCCTGGCGCTCCCGTCCCTACGAAGAAGCGCTTCTTTACGGGTTGGCGCATGGGCGCGCTCGCGTCGGCTACCTGCGCCATATTGGTGTTTAGCATGAACCTCGCCGTCACAATTTGGGTCTGGAAGAATCCCGATTACGAGCATGAGGATGGCGTTGGGACGTTATTCCAAGGCAGTTGCTCTACTGTTCGGGAATCGAACGTCTACATCCACCTGGTTGTGAATGTGCTTAGTACCTTACTGTTGTGCAGCTCCAACTACTGCCAACAGATTCTTGCCGCGCCGAATCGAGAAGAGCTGCGGCGTGCGCATGCACGGCGAAACTGGCTGCATATCTGTGTTCCTAACCTCCGCAACCTATGGCACGTTGGATGGGATCGCTCCGTGTTGTGGATATTGTTGTTTCTCTCGTCTGTACCGCTACATTTGTTATTCAACTCCGTTGTGTTCACAAATCTGCAGGCAAACGAGTATGCTGTCATACCGACGACGCCTGAGTGGGTAATGTCAACGCAAGACATTTACGACACCTCTGGCTTCCTGAATGTCAGCATAAATTCAACAGAAGCAATATCCTCAACGATCAGGGACCAGTATAGATTCGACCCCTCTGATGCGGTGGCGTTGAGAAATGGCAGCACGACACCCAAATACAGGAACGTCAGCACACCCGACTGTCTTGCAGCATACGGCACGCAGTATGTTTCAGCTGTTGGTAACTTGTATTTGATTCAGGAAAACCCAACGGTTCTGCGAGGCGCTGATGACTGGGTTGGTCGACGGTATCGGAATGACTCTTTCGAATGGGTACTCAAAACAGTAATCACTATGGAAGAAGACCGCAAGAAAGATGAATATGTTATCGAAGCTCCAAACCAAGAACTTCCGGTGACCAGTACGCCAGAAGTGTATCCTTCTAACGGGTGGCGCTGTCTTCCTCATTCTCCTGTCAACTGTAAGTGAACCCAGCATCCGCCACCTACGAAGATCATGTATTGACTAGACGTGACTCAGGCGATCCTGACGATGAGACCGTCATTCCACTCAATCGATCAGCGTGGCAGCCATTCGAAGTACCCGTGGCCTACTGCACTATCGAACAAGTCGAAGAGTTCTGCAAGCTGCAATTTAGCTTTACTATCGCGATAGCGGTCATCGTGGCCAACTTTGTCAAAGCGGTTTGTATGATACTTTTGCTTTGCCTGTATTGGGATCACGGCGCGCTTGTGACCATAGGAGATGCGATCGCGGCATTTCTCGAAGATCCGGATCCCGAAACCTACGGTCGTTGCCTACACACTAAACAAGACGTTGGTCTCCGATGGAACTGGAACGAATACGCTAGCATAACGAAACTAGGACTCAGCAGTGAGCCCGCGAGGTTCACAATGAGAAAAAGGAGGTGGGCTAGAGCTCCGAGCACCACGCGATGGTGGCTGACATACTCTACGTAAGTCGTGTGTAAGCCGTTTGCGGTCATCCACTCACCATTTCAGATACACCATCAGTGCTGGGCTGGGTGGACTCTGCATAGCACTTTCCTTGGAAGGCATGCCGAAAGATCCTGTAAAGCTATGGAAGACAGGGTTTGCGACAGTCAACGGTAACAATCTCATGGACTTCAGCACATCACTGATTCCGGGCGTACTTTTGGCGAACACACCTCAACTGGTCCTCTCATACTTGTATATCGCGCTAAACGCTCTCTACACAAGCATGTTCGTGTCGGCGGAGTGGGCAAGCTACGTCAAAACACGGAAATCGCTCCGCGTTACATCGCCCACTGGCTTTCAACGCGACTCCTACTGGCTCAACGTACCCTTCCGCTATGCCATTCCTATGACCATCGTGTCAGGTCTCTTCCACTGGCTCGCATCACAAAGCATATTCAAAGTGCAGATCTCCATCACAGACATGCACACGCGCAAAGCCGCTAGCGAAGTCTCAACATGTGGCTATTCCCCCGTCGCGATCATCCTGACTACGGTCGTTGGTTTCACCATCGCAGCTGGCGGTCTCGTCATCAGCAGGTTCTGGTATCCAGCTGGTATACCTCTGGCTAGTAGCTGTTCTGCTGCTATTAGCGCGGCGTGTCATGCGCCGCCAGAAGATGTGAACGCCAGTCTTTTACCGGTACAGTGGGGTGCTGTTACACATGGGAAAGTGGGCGAGGGTGGGGAGGAGCCGATCGGCCATTGCTGTTTTACGAGCTTCCCGGTTGAGATGCCTATCCCGGGGCGGTTGTACGCATGAAGTGTATGAGTAATGCGAATCTCTCCACGCCGTCGCAGCTCTAATGGCATCAAGAGCACCGCGGCTATCAATCTTAATTAGAGCAGACAAGGAATGGTCGAGCTAATGATATGGCGCTTATGTTAACGGTAATTCTATTCGAGCGCCGCGCCCTTCTTATCTGGACCTGTTGACTATCTGCTCCAGGCCCTTTGCAACTATGTCCCCTCCTACCAAGATATTGATCGCGCTCTTAGACCTCTCTACCGAACAGTCGTCAGTCTGTTGCTTCGCGCATCGCTGTTGTTTCGCGTCCCTGGATTCCCTGCTCATAGACTATTTTGACTTGTTCCACCATCCCCTGAACTTGGAGATCATTCAATGAACTTGTTTCCTCTTGTTGCCGTAATCTCGCCAAGACGTGGTCCTCGAGAAACGGCGCATCGATAAGTATTCGAAAGTTGGTCGGTAACGCGACTGCACCGGTGTGTTCGTCTCGACAATCTCCCAAGAAAGTCTGAGCGCTTGGTATCCAAAACGCTTTCTCTCTCTCAGATAGCGTAAGAAGAGATTCGCCAGTGATGACGATTTCCACAGCTACCATCCACATCAACACTAACCCTTGCCGATGCGCCTCACTTGATCGTAGGTCGTACGCCCACTGAACCTCACACAACGGATGGCTTCTGCTGTACGCCACCCATGCATTCAGGGAAAGCTGAAACCTATTTTGGCACGGCCAGTAAACCCTGACCGATGGCATACCGTCCAACTTGCTGTGGTATGGAACCTGAATGGACAGTCTTCGAATGTGTCCAAGGCGATAGACGTCATAGTCCAGACCCCTGACGAAGCGACACAGTATTCGGTGATACATTAGTAGTCGCTGAGCGTTGTCATCGACGTGGACTATGTTGAGTTTCAGAGGGAGCTTTTGTGTCTCTGCGCGGACTTGGTGACATGTGAGTTCGAGGGGGTTCGTGATGCGGCCATCAGCGGCGTTGCTTGGGCGGAGTGTTGTGGGTGTGAAACATCGTGTCGAAGGTATCAATGACAGCCCATCTTCGTAGTAGAGAGCGTATTCATATATCATGGTGCGCAGCTCTAATGGTAGATCAAGAAGCGGTGAAGGGCCCGTTGGTTCTGGCGAGGGCGAGTTCCATGCTAGCGATGACAATGAGGAGATGTAACCGCCCATGGTGATGGTGAAAAGTCGGAGGTTGAGAATGCGCGCTGGTAAGACCGAAGGGTTGAGAAGGGCTCTTATCTTTCGAGAGGAGTAATCGACCGACCAAGAAGCGTAGGAACCTTGACTGTCGCCACTCCTGGAATCACCACTGCTGTGAATGACTGCCAAACCGTCAAAGCTCGAAGATCTCGGCGCGTGAAAGTTATAGCCTGAACTTTACTATACTTATAACCACATACGACTGCTCCACCGGCCACAACTTTCCGTTCAACGAACACACGCCAAGACTATGCCCACTTCAAGGAACGAACAGCCTCTGCGGTTTCGGAGCCACCCAGCCAATACCCCAGACCCCAGCGGCGTATGCCACTATCTGAACCTTCCTCGAGAACTACGAGACATCATCCACTCGTATGCTTTAACATACGAGGATGGCTTAGTAGCTACTTCAGAACCCTTGCGACATGGCCCCAGGCATTTTCAATGGTCGCCGAGTCTCCAGCCTTTCCAGTACAGTGAGCGACCTGCCGAGGACTACGACGGCACCATTTTCAAACCCGGTGATGTCAATCCTCTTCGCTTAGTCTGCCATCAGACACGCGCTGAAACACGCGGGCTTTTGTTGAGCTTGAACGATATCTCGTTTTCGCTCATACCACAAGGAAATAGTCTCTGGCTCGATAAGGATTATGAGAGGATATTCAAGGACTTCTACGACGAGTGCAGTCTAATCAACCGCAATCGCCTGCGCAAAATGACCGTTCACATGTCTACGGACAGAGTCAGAAGATCAAGCATAGTAAGCATAGACCGAGTTCGCGAAATTCTCGACTGGTATACCTGGAAATTCTCCCTCCATGACAACATCTCCATTCTTCTCCGCTTCAACATGGACTGCGCCCACTGCTTCATGAGGAACGTCGTCGACCCGGAACACTACATCAAGGAAACCCGCATGTGGAGTCTGCTGCGCCACGAAAAATTCCCTGATCTGCCTGGAGCGGTGGGCGGGTGCCACATGCACACGTTGCCGATTTCTAAGAGTCATGTACCGTTTGCGCATAATGTGCGTTTCTCAATCTTGGATGAGTTTCCGGAAGATGTTGTGGAGGCGCAGTGGAGGGCGGCTTGTGGGAAGTGTGGTGAGTCTGGTCGGAAGGACGCGATTTGTACCTGTGTGGACGGTATAGCGGGGTCACGGAGGGTGTTTGAGGAGGGCTTATAGGCTACGGTGGGGTGTTGCGTGGAATCAGCGTATGGCGGCGACATCCGCTCAATGTTCACGTCTTCTTGGTCTACTTGTAGTTTGTTCACTTGCCATAGAAGCTTTAATTAGCTTTCTATACGTGCTGTTTCGTAATGATACTTGCAACATCATGATTGCACGATGTTCCGCAACACGCATACTAAAGTCTGCATCCCGAAAACGTCTCGTTCCTCCCATGACTACGCCGCCGCGCTATTCTCGGCCAACACCCCATTCGCCGTAGCCAGCTCCCCCATTGCCTTCCCACTCCCCTTCTGCTTACTCTTAAAGTACTGCGTGAAATCATGTCGAACCTGATGTATAGTCTCTGCAACGCTCTTGCCCCACACCGGATCATCACTCGCCCTCTCACACATCTTGAAGAACTCCTTCCTCTTCTCCTCGTGCTCGGGGTCCCAGAGGCGGTGGAAATTTTCGCGCGACATGGGGTCGATCATTTCGCGCCAGATCTTGATGCGGATTTCAGAGTACTTGTCGAGGATGGAGTTGTCGAGTTCGTCGAGGTGGATGCCGGTGAAGCAGTCGTAGAGGGAGCCGACGTCGGCGAAACCGCCTGTGAGGCCCATGCCGCCGCTAACGGTATGTTAGTAGAGTCCGCTCATCATAAACTGGGATACATACAATGGATTGCACAGATGCGCTGCGTCGGCGACTAGTACAATTCGGCCTACGCGGAAGCTGGGCGCGCATCTTTGTTGGAGTTTGTAGGGGCTCATGCTCTTGAGCTTGTACTCATGGGGCTTGGGGTGACCGGGTAGGATTTGCTCGTAGCGGAGGGGTTGGCGTTTTACGAGCTCTTCTTTTGAGAGGCCTTCAGAGTCGCCATATGTCACTCGCCAGAGGCCGTCGTTGGTGATCTTTGCGGCCATGTACCAATCCGTGGGGTGGACGATGAAGTTTGAATCCCACCAGTCGAATTTCTCGTCGAAGGGTAGGTAGACATTGGTAGCGACAATTTGCGCCTTCAGCGTCTCCCCTGGATATTCCTTCCCGAACAACGCTGTGCGCACACCACTTGACGCGCCATCAGCACCAACTAGATAATCGCCTGAAATCTTCTTCTTCTCGCCATCAATTGTCTCGACAACCGCGGTCGCGCTGTTGTCGTCTTGCTCCACACCGGTCAATTTGTGGCCCCACTTGATCTCGGTGTTCGGGTAGCTTTCAAAATGCTTCACAAGTAGGGGGCCTAATTGATCGAGCGGTAGCACAACCATTGCGTATTTTGAGTCTTCTGGATCGCGGCCCATGCCACCTAGAAAGGTCCCATCCTGCAAGCGCCAGCATACACCTTTAGGGTGCAGCCCGACGGCACGTACATCGTCTATGATGCCTGCGCGATGGAAGTCGTAGACCGCCGAAGGCGCATAGTGAGCAGCCCGCGGGTTGTCGTTGATCTTGGTGTCCGCGTCGAGGATGGTAACTTTGATGCTGAGGTTCTTCGCTAGAAGAATTCCAAGCAAGAGACCGGAAGGGCCAGCTCCTACAATGACGACCTATCGGTGTTAGCAATATGCACATGCAAGCCATCACGGAGGAACATACGTGATTAATCTTCGGCATTGTGACAGATTTGGTCTACTGCATGCAGATGATGAGGAAGTATATCTCAACCACATGTCATCCTTTAAGAAACTCAGATGACATGTCCATTATGGTGGGGCTGTCACATCCCCGCCTCCAAACTTCTCCATGCCAACTCGCAGAGTGTCGGCTGAGCTGCAGCTGGCAGGTGCGGGGAACGAGTCGACTGCCCCACATCCATGGTAGGTAATCGGCACCGGGACATCGTGGGACCGCCCGGACCGGCACTCGTGCACGTGATGCGCTGAGTAATGATAGCCGTGATAGTGGAGCAAAGGGTCTTGGAGCCGCAACAATGCTTCCTGCAGGGCTGGTGGATCGTGAGGTACCTAGGTATGACGTAAGGAAGAGCACGCGTCTCCCCTGATGATCATAACTCTGGCGCGCGCCTGAGCCCGACAGGAGGCAAGCAACCGTTGCTATAGCGAGTGCGTCTTACGAAGATGGTGACGAAGACATTGCGATACACATCAGAAGTGTTGGGAAGACGTGGCCCACGCTATCGACATCTGGAGGTCGCGAACCTTGTGGAGAGTGGAGATAAGTCGTAGTGGTGGCAGGTGGTGAGATCCTAACAGAATTAGAACGCACCACCCGCGCGCGACGTCATGATCATGGCGTATCGTCGTGTCCGTCACACCCAAACACCCTAGCATGTGACGATGCGAGCGACACCGAAACATGCGCTCCGACTTCTCTCGCGGCGCATTGTTGTTGGGACCGTGAGATGCGCAGGGACTCCCGGGCTCGCGAAATAAGCTTTACCGGCCTTTCAGAGAATTTGAGCCGCAAGTTTGCGCTCGTTCGCCACCAACGCGACCACACCCAAATCCAACACCATGCGACGACCTAGGTAATGCATCCATCGCTATCGTGTTCAACGCATTCCTTTTCAGTGCGCCTCCGCTGCCATGACTCAACCGTGTGATGAACCTAGGCGCTGGTTAATTCTCGATCATCGCCTAGGAGCCATTGCTCCACCCATGCTATCATAGCACTCCAAGCTCATTCCCACGATGCCCCTAGGTTTGCGACGATTGGGCCGACGCGCGCTGAGAGGCTTGGACGACCCAGTTATACCCACTGTCTCCTTATCTCGGTTTCCCTCAACCAGAATGTCCCAAGCTTTGGCACCACGATGTCCACTTTTCTTGCTGCGCCGACATCCGTCCTGGGTATGGGTGACTGCAAATCTTGGCTGTAGCGGTGTCCGCGCTTTGTCCACTGTCGTCAGTCCAAGAGCTTCATCAAACATTGTGCAATCCTGCTGCTAACATGTTGCTTCAAAGTCGTCGTACGCCGACTCCTGACGGCTCCCTAAAAACTCTGCGCGTCCGGCGAATGCAGGCGTCTTTATACTCTGATATCTTCGGCACGCTTGCGGCTCTTTTGCGTCGGCCTTCGCGGGTTCCCTAAAATATATTTAACGCCGGTGCAGCCACAACCGCTGCAGCGATCAAGGTTCTGGAAGTTTGGGCTACGATTTCTGGTGCCTGTCGCGATTTTGGCGCTCCCGACGTTCCACGTCCCCTGCACTTTCCGCTCCACCCTCACGCTGTCGAGCTGACGAACCCGACACCGAACCTTCTGGCCGCTGTGTTTCGACTAGGAAAATTGGGTCGGCACGCCACTACAGAGTTTGAGAACCCTTACAGACCCGTTCGGGACTACGCGACACACACCATTGCACTAGAGGCTCTTATCAATCCCACGCAACATTAGGAGTACTCGCCTTCCATCGCGATCCCAGCTTTTGACTCAAAGCAACACTTCATTCGTACCTTTTCCTGTCATTACGATATCATTATTCGATTTCTAGGCACCATCCGCACACAGGCCACAGCAACCAGTCATACCCTGTTTGTACCTTGGAACTCACGATACTCGATAGATCCACCTGCAGGCGCATGAACGGGACCGGATACCAACTCGCCTATTGAGTACCGCCGCCTGATTAGCGCACAGTCAGCACTCACCACGCGAACGTTGTATGCACCGAGTCGCGGAATCCGGCGCATTGGTCATTATTGCGAGCGCACTGGCTACTCCTGAAGCGCCCAACTAGCCCACGATAGTGCCCAAACAACACAATATCATCATGAATCCCTCTCAAGACGCCGGTCCCTCTCGTCAGGCCACTTTCGAACTCGAGGACCAGATGTCTACCACTCCCGGCAGGAAACGCGTTGGTTGGCAAGCAGAACACCCCGCTGTACGAGCAACACAGTCACCTGAGGACACTGGCTCTGCCGGGCAAAACACCCCTCTCGTGCGGAATGATGTATCACATGATGATCTCCAGAAGATCCGTGCCTCGCTACGCTTAGCTCTTGGAAACGAACATCTACCAGAAGAGGTTATCCAGGAACCTATCACTGCTCCAAAGGATGTACAGAAACCCCGACCAGCCATTCGGAAGCCAGGCCCTCGGACTCCGCCCCCGGAGTTCTACCTCAACGACCAACCAAATCCATTCGACGACCAGAATGCGGCAGCGACGCCTTCAGTGCACCAGGAGCTCAAGGAGAGATCTGGACTCGCTGCTCAACGCCGTGCGGCAAGATTGTCGAAGTCAGTGGGCACTTACTCTGCTCCAGTATCCCGGCGAAACTCCAAGGAGCTGGCTTCTCCACCAGTTGAACTCCAGAATCTGTCAAAGCAGTACGAATCAGTCGGCGAAACGACTGACGACGACGATGAAGACCCGCAGTTCATGAAGCGCGCATCCATGCTCCTTCGTCAGCACACCATACGCGCTGCTAATGGACAGCCCGCATTGAGCGCCGAGGATCTTTACCATACCGAAGCCCCATTACGTTCAGGCCAGGTGACACCGGATGCTATGGAGGTTGAGGACGAACACGTCGTTCGTCCTACCAAGTACCGGACAGGAGTATTGGGTACCCTAATGAAGATGTCTAGTAACGCGGCGCCACCTTCGTCATCTTCGTCATCACGCAAACCCATCCATCACCGAACCCTCAGCACCAGCACGTTCAGCGGAGCTTCGACTGCTGCGAACTCACCCAACCCCTCACCACCCGCTTCCGGATATTCTACCCCGCGCGGAGGACGTCCCTGGTTCAGGAGTCACTCCAACAACCAGTCCGCAACTTCCATCTCGCACTTGGTCGGATCGTCGGCGCACAGCTTTGCGGCGCCTGCACAACAAGAACTGGGTCAGGAGTATGATCAACAATACAAGAAGACCGCGGCGCGCCCTGGCATGGGAAAGCGATCCAAGTCAGACGAGTCTATACTCCCGTTCAAGAAGAACAAGAGAAAGGAAGAGGAGATCAAGATTAAAATCCATCTCGCTGGTACACTCGCGCGTCAGAACTATCTCCGCAAGCTGTGCAAAGCGCTCATGATGTACGGAGCCCCCACTCATCGACTGGAGGAGTACCTGAACATGTCGGCTCGTGTCTTGGAGATCGAAGCACAGTTCTTGTACATGCCAGGTTGCATGATCGTCGCGTTCGATGACTCCTCTGTTCACACCAGTGAGGTCAAGCTCGTTCGAACTAGTCAGGGTGTCGATCTCGGTAAACTGCACGACGTCCATGAGATCTACAAGGACGTGGTACACGACAGGATTGGCGTCGAAGAAGCCACACCTCGACTTGACGCTATCATGGGGCGCAAAGACAAGTTCAACAAATGGCTTCGCGTACCGATGTACGGTTTGGCATCCGCGACTGTAGGGCCCTTCGCGTTCCAGGCTCGGTTTGTCGACTTACCCTTCTGCTTCCTCTTGGGTTGCCTCATCGGATGGCTCCAACTCGTCGTTGCACCCGGAAACGATCTTATCAGCAACGTCTTCGAGATTGGAGCATCGGTTATCACCAGCTTTGCGGCGCGCGCCCTTGGGTCCATCCGACATGACGGGAAAGAGATCTTCTGCTTCAGTGCCATGGCTCAGTCTAGTATTGCCCTCATCCTACCCGGTTTCATGGTGCTTTGCGCATCGCTGGAGCTCCAAAGCAAGCACATCGTCGCTGGATCTGTGCGCATGGTCTACGCTATCATCTACTCCCTCTTCCTTGGTTTCGGTATCACCATCGGCACTGTACTATATGGCATGATGGACCACAATGCCACCTCGCGCACCACATGCCACGAACCCATGTCGACCAACTTCTATTATCTCTTTGTTCCTGGATTCGCCATCTGCCTGCAAATCGTCAACCAAGCCAAGTACAAGCAGATGCCCTCCATGACTGTCATCGCTTTCATCGGCTGGGTTGTCAACTTCCACAGCTCAAAGTACTTCAAGAGCAACGCGCAGGTCAGCAACACGCTCGGAGCACTGGCTATCGGTATCGCCGCCAACGCCCATGCTCGCTTCGGTCGTCACATCGAGAACTGGGGTCATGACACCTGGGAGAACAAGCTGCGACCCCACTTCGTGAAGGTGCGAAAGATGTGGCAGAAGAAGAACCACGGACCGCTCACGCTCCGTACTCAAAAGGTCGAGCGATCGGCTTATGACCCAACCCACACCAGCAGTGGTCACACATCACGAGCCAGCTCAGTCAGCGACTTCACACCCCACACTCGCAAGATTGGCTACGGTCTTGCCGCAGCCGCCATGTTGCCAGCTATCTTCGTACAAGTTCCGTCTGGACTCAGTGTTCAAGGCTCCCTCGTATCGGGTCTGACTTCGGCCGACCAGATCGTGCGCAACCAGACTGGCAACGCTACGACAATCAGCAGCGCCGACGTTGGCGGCAGCACAAGCATCAACTCTATCGCTCTAGATGTCGGTTTCTCTGTCATCCAGATCGCTATTGGTATCACAGTAGGCTTGTTCCTTGCTGCGCTTATCGTTTACCCGTTGGGCAAGAGAAGGTCGGGGCTGTTCAGCTTCTAGGAGAGGCTGCACATGTCACCGGGTTTCTCGCACCCATCGCTCATCACCTCTTTTCCTTTCAACATGTTATCCACCGCACTTCCCTCAGCACATCAAAACGCATTTCTTTTGTTGTCGTGTTTTACAAGCAAGCGAGTCTAGCATTTGCAGGAGTTGGGGTTGCTATTTTTACATACATAGATGCAGCTTCTGCGAAGCTACGAATAAGATTAGATACACGATTCTCGTATAATGTATTACTATCCTCGCCGCTCGTGGGCTGGGCCTTCCAAACAGTGCCGCTCTTCCCGAATATGGTGATGTCACCAGGGTGCGCTACCATATGTGGAATAGCGCTTCTTGGCACCCATGTCCCAGATCGTCATCGCTGACGGTGCAACGCTTCGGACTCTTGTAGCGAATTGTGGCCATTACTCGCATGATATCAGCGCACACCTCTACCCAGTGTATCTTCAGATTCGAGTCCTGTCATGCCGCGACACAACGTGAGTGTTGGGGTGCCGAGGCGCGTTGATACCCCGCATGCTTGCATCTCCAGGGCTATTGACATCCAGTAACATGCCAACGACGTATCCACACGGCGCCTTAACGTGTACTTTGCGGCACGCCGTGGCTGAACGCACGCCTGAAACCTGGTTCATGACACGTAACGCCGAAGCCAAACATGCGGACATCGGTGTCGGTGGTTGGTAGCTCCAGATTACAAAGCTCGCGGGCTACACGTCCGACCTCATGCGCAACGACTCAATACTAAAGTATCGTGAACATATACATCTCCATCACGAGCAACTCACCTGACAGCTTTACCAACTCACTCCGCAGCCGCCCAATATGACAGTAACACAAATAATCCACTTCCGCGCGCCCTCCGCCTCGGAAGCCGACGCAGCAGCCCACGCCGCCGTCAAAGCCCTCAAAGGCGCCAAAGCCCCCGAAAACTACGTCCTAGGCACCCAAACCCAGGATAAGCGCAACCTGCAGCTGACATCGGAATGGCACGACCCCAAAGCCGAGTCCTCAGCGGAAGCAAACACGTACCGCGAGACCGTCATCAAGACCCTCGGAAACCCCAACAAGATGTTCCACGTCACTTTCAAAGACGGCCAATCCGCCTTCGACAACAGCGGCCCCATGTCCTCTCCCCTGGTCGAATTCGTGCAAATCTACTTCCCAGCCAACAAGATCAACGAGTCGTTCAGGAATAAGATCGAGAAGGATTTCAACAAGTTCAACGATATTTGTGCGAAGGCTTTGAAGGGGAGCGGAGGGTTGACGTATGGATGGGTGATGGAGGAGCTGGAACACAAGGATGTGAAGAAGGAGAAGGCGAAGTGCTTTTTTGTGGCGAGGGGATGGGAGGGTATGCAGTATTTTGAGGAGGCGGTTAAGAGCGAGGAGTACAAAGAGGCGATTGGGATTTTGTTGGCGTGGGAGGCGCCGTGGGAGTTGTGGCATGTGAAGAGGGAGTATTAGGTGGGGAGAGGACTGTGGGCTAAGCTGTGGCGGGGCGTGACGCGCCAGTTTGAGCCGAATATATCCCGCGGCCTCAAGTCGCAATTCCCGTCACCATTGTATGATGCGGACGTCGTTTGTGGGTCCTGGTATGGGTCATCGCAGTACCATGTGATCGCGATGTATGTCCTGCGAACACAGTCCTTTTGCGTGAAAATTTGGTGCCGTTAGAAGTACAGTTACTGTGGTTGGTCGGCGCACCTCCCGGCTTCGTTTCGCAGTACCGAAATTTCGCAATTCACAAAACATGTTTGGAGCTAGACGTCTACGTCCAGTCGGAGGCTATCCATTTGTCATCTTACAACAGTGTGTATGCAGCAAAGCAGAACAATTTGTGTCACATCACATCAAAAGTTCTTGGAGCCAGACGTGTACACTGCCTTGGAAAGTCTCTACTCCCCATGATGTAATGGTATGTGTGCAGCAAGACATGACGCATATTTTGGTTACCTCCAGTGCCGATGCGACGTATCTGGGATGGCTTGATTGGACCGTTGCTCACTCTGCGTCAGCGCAGTACCACTGGGGAAGTGGATAGAATGGACTTTACCAAGGTATCGCATCGGCGCTCAGGTCCGAGTCACAGGCGCAGCAAGACATGACACATACTTTAGCAATTCCCAGTGTTGGTGCGTTGTATTCGGGAGGCCCCGATTGGAGGTTGCTCGCTCTTCGTTATCGCAGTACCGGTGGAGGAAGCCGATCGAATGGGCGTTCGGATGTGAGTCAGAGGTGGAAATCGTATATAATGGCTGCATCCCAGGCTTTTCTACTTAGACATCTTCATCATCAGACAGTATCGAAGACCTTGACGCTAGTACCAAAACACATCCGCGAACTACAAATATCTACATTCGCTCGACTAAGACGCAAGAACATAACTACAAAGTACTACTTCACTTCAATCTCAACATTACCAACATCATGGCCAACATCAAAGATCTGCAAATGCAGTGCAAGATTACTGAGCTGCGAAGCGCTGAGTTGCTCGAAAAGTCGCATCGAGAAAAGATGTTTTGGACTACCCTAGACAAACGCTTCGGCACTAGCAAGCCAGAAGTCATCAAGGAAGAGACTAGTAAAGCAGAGATTCCGCAAATCAGGCAGCGCGAACAAGACACAAGCGCAATGCCGCACGAGTCTTCAAGCATCGCCTACATTGGCATGAGTATGGAGCTGACCGACATGCTTCCAACGGAGCTTCGCGACGCGATATACGGTGAAATCATGCCAAGTCACGTCATAGTCAGAAAAGCCGAAGCTGGCGGCATATTCTTCGAAAATGAGGAAGATGGGAACCGCTTCGACCTCGCTCATCACAAGGGCTTAGGCCCAGAGATCTACCTGGAGTTCGTCGCGCACTTCTATCGCACGACGCAATTTACATTTGAACTTCCAAGTGAAGAAGAGAACATAGCCCTGTTTCTCGCTTCAGACACGTCCGGACTACAGCTTGACCTAAACAAGCTAGTCTCAAAAATCTCGTTTGATATCAACGAGCGCCACTTCAAAAAGATGGAGGAGGCAGGTTATGAATTCGGCTTCGACACTCCGTATACAAGAGCGTCGCCGCCAATCACCGAGCTTTTGATGCTCCACAAAAGTCCTAAAATGGTTCTCAAGCGGCGTCTTGATTTTCTCACCACTTTGCTGCCGATGGGTAGTAAGAGTCGCATCCTCACAGTCGCCATAGAATACGACGTAAGACATAGGAATTATCTGCTTAATGTCCTGCTGCCAATCCTCCAAAAGCTCAAGAGTAGGGGCTGGAGACTAAGGTTGGAGCTTGAGGATTACAAGACAGCGTCGGGTCAATGCGCGAGCTTTACTGAGGACACGCTGGACTTCACAACGAAAGGCTGCTTGGAGGGTGTGCAGAAGTGGCTTCATGTTAGTAAGATGGATGCAGTATGCATGATCAATACTGACTTGATCAAATAGATGAATGAATGAATGGGATGATATGTGTACATGCACTATGATTAAGGGAGGAAGCGAACACTTCTATGGTTACTTCATATAGGATAATGGAAATCACCCAGACGTCTACATCACCTCCCAGAGTGTGTGAAGTTTCGTTTTCATGCTGATGCAGACGGCAAACCATGAATTGATAGAGCACTATATCCATACGGAGCGCATGACCTGCTCAAGTATACTGACCGTCAAAGACTTATACGTCTCCAACGTCCTCAACACCCGGTATACGGAACTCCAACGCCTCGCCCCCGAAAACGCCTTCTGGCTTCTGAGCCCAAAAGGCCTGCCTACATTCAAGCAAGTCATCCACACTCATGCTGTCCCTGCTCATGACCCAGGACCACTTCTCTCGGCTATCCAAAATCGTTACGACTTGTCCCTTCTTAACCAGATCCTGGAAGAACGGCAGCAACTTCTGCATCAGCACCAGCAGCAGAAGACGTCCAATGAGTTCAAAGTCTTCCGTGTTTTCCCACTCATTTTCTGCTTCGTCGCCCCCTTCATATTTGAATGGGCCCTCGTGGGAAGAGTCCCTCCATGCCTCCATGATATGTTTCGGCAGAATTAAGGACCAAGTCCTCATGCTGGGCCGGACGTCTATAGTAATTCGAACACCTCTCTGTGTGAGGGTCTGTAGCGGCGCGAGCTCGTTCAAGAGAGTATCTCCAGCGACAAGTCGCCATAGAGACGACAGCTCTGGATTTTCCTCAAGTACTGGGTCGTACGCTTCATATTCTAAACCTTCATCCGCAGAGCCTGAGATTGAGTCCAGATATGCTTGGCTTTCTTCCTCAGTTTCCGAGTCTTCCGGGCCCATCCATTCCTCGTGGCACATATCTAACGGTATCTTGAGAAGAATGTTGCGCACGAATTCCCTTGGGACCAGGTGCTCGTATCCCCTCCATGGGTTCTGGTTGAGGAAGCGCGTAAGGTGTACTACGCGGTCGATGGAGAAAACCGTCTCGCGGTGGAAGGCCTTCATCTTCTCCTCGGCAAACTCAGGGCTCACGATGTTGGTGTCTAGATACCAGGGCGTTTTGCAATCTTTTCCATTGAACTCTCCGTTCAGAGACTTAGAGGTGTATACTCGTTCCACGACTTCTTGGTTGCTGGATTCGTCTCCCAAAGGCTCTTTGTGTTCGACGTCATAGTCGACTTCAAGTTCCTTGGGGTAGGGTTCGACAAAAGCGTAAACTATGTCTACAAGTTCTGTGGGTAACTTCTCGGAGATGAGTTCGCAAAAGACCCTCGCTTCGCTATTGTGCTCCAGAACGAAATCCAGCTCTGCTTCAACGCGTGCCAGTCTTTCTTTAGTAGCTTGAGCTGTAGATTGGTGGGCTAACAGGCGCTTCTGGTACAAGGCAGCATGCGCAGTGTTGTCTGGGTTGTCCGTGTATTTAAGCTTCCGGGCGATGAAGTCTTCGAGTTCCACTTCTTTCGCCTGCTTGGACTGATAATCTTGCCTTAGGGTTGACACAACCTTTTTAAGTGCAAGACAGCGAAGTCGGAAGTGCTCTCGTTCATCTTTGGCACATGATGTCCGTCCAGAGGAATCCGTGAAGCTGTCGACCTTCCAAAGACGGAATACGTCGGCAGTCGTTTTGCTGTATGCCGCAGACATCAGAGTTTGACCGAGTTGATTGAAAGTAATGGTTGGTGTGATTGTCGATAAGGGTGAAGTTTGGGAGTTTTTATAATTGGTTACAAGCGTAGTGTTCACCTACAATTGTTGTGAAAGTGGCCAAGCGGCGAGATTGCACGACGCAACTCACTCACCCGTCGTGTGGAAAAGGTGCCTTCTTTTACGCACATTAGTGTGAAAGCGTTTGACTCGAATGTTCGTGAATTAGCTTGTTGAAATAGCTGCAAAGACGCGCCATGAGAATGCCGAGGCAATCAACATCATATCCTTCCGACTCCATGAACGCCAGAGAAGAACCGCCAAAACCTTGTGGTCTAGAGATAGACCCGTAAACGGAAAGTACAAATACATGTTATACAGTTCGTGATACAATCATCGTATCGTTCAATGCGACAAATTGTTGGAAGAAACCCTCTTAACGCCGCCCAGATGCAAGACGAAGGACAAAATGGTACAGAAACTGAAGGATCTACAGCTAGAAGGGTTCACAATGCACGATCCTCGGACTATGCCGCACATCGCGTACAGAAGGAATGGTTTGCGAACTGGAAGCTCGGGTGTGAAGTAGGGTGTCGTGAGGCGAACGAAGCGGCGGCGCATCGTGCGGTATGTCTGCACGAGCATGTGAGCGCATATGACTTGGAGGTGGCGATCTTGGGTGAGCGACTGAGCGCATTGGTGAAAGCTCATATTGATCGGTCTTGGGTTGCCAATTCGGTGGGGCCTCCATGGGTGACGATGGCGAAGGATAGTCTGTCTTGGCACTGCTAAACCAGCCATTGATGGCTGCACCCATGGGGGAAGTCAAGTCTTGTATCGAACCGGGTCTGATTGCAGTCCCCTCATATGTAGTCATCAGCGGTGGCGTCTGAAGATGCGTTGTGGTACTGAACTTCCGAGGCTGCGCACGGCTGGACGACCGTGTTATCAGCGCCCCTGGACCAGAGGGACTCTTCAGGACTGGCGGACCAGGAGACTTCACGCCCGTGGATATCGTTTGCGATCGCATTGCTCGAATTGGTGGCACCCGAGATGGGCTGTACTGTGGCTGCGGTGAGACGGAGGAGGAGCTTTGAGCCGGGAATAGCGAGAAGCGTTCCGCATATGGCGTAGTCAAAGCCGGCGTTGGGGTGCGACTGGAGTAGCATGAGCTTGAGGAAGTTGGTCTGGGGCTGTAGATCTTTGTTGGTGGGCTGGGTGCCTTCCTGGAAGGGATGAACGATTGCGGAAGCAAAGCTTGTGGTGATGCGCACGATGGCGAAAGCACGCCCGAGCTTTCTGTGCGCGGACTCGCCCAATCTAAGCTTCGTTGCCGCCGAGGATCTCGACAGGGGATATATATGTTCAAACCGCGAACGCTAGCCTGCTTGCCGAGCGGCGTCTGCGGCCGAGGAGGCGATAAAGGCGATAAAGGTCTTGGAGCGGGAATATAAGGCGAGAGCTGCGGCACGCGATTGTATGGAACAACGGCATCTGCAGTCGGGTTCCAGAGTTCAAGAGCCTTGGTCTTATTGTGTCGACGAAACCACAACGAGGACCTTGAGCGTCCTGTCTCTTCATCGATGAGATGGAGGCGACTCTTCGTCGAGTGAGTCCTTCGCAAGTCACCATCCATACCCTTGAAGAAGGGCACCATGTATGGAATGCTGGCAGTTGCGATGCTGAGGCATACATGGGCTTGCGATACGATCGCCGGCACCCAGAGTCGGTACTGAGGATCGCCATGGAGCGTGGCCGGGAATAGCAAAACGAGACGAACAATTGCCAAAATCAGCACCAGCATGCGCGGCGCAAAGCATGCAATGACTGCGAATTTTCTGGAGAGCCGTACTTGAAGGTATGCTACGAGGTGTATGGAAAGCATAATGATTGCGACTTCGGTGGAAATGTCGACGATACAATAGACGATCCAAAAGATGCGCTATCCAGGTCAGCTTCCAGATCGTGTTTCGTTAGGTCCCATGTTGCATACCGAGTTGAAGCATCTTGGGCCTACAATCTGCCAAGGTCGAGGTAGCTGGCACTGAAACGCAATCGCGACAAGCGACGCCGCTGTCCAGACTGACACTACCGCACTGAAAGCTACCACAGCTCGGCGGATGATGCGTTGCGTTACAACGACATTGTAGAATATTACCAAGATTGATAACTTCGCGAAGCCAATGGCTACAATGTAGACAATTTCAGACGAGTAGTATCCTTTCATGAGGAAGATGGTTTGCTCGGGCGTCAACGGACCAACAGTGCCGAGACCTTCGAACGACAAGACAAGAGCTATGATTGAAAGACTGACGGCAAAGGACTGCATGCATTAGCAAAGTTCGAGAGATATGTTGTGCAACTTACAAAAGCCACAAATATCAAGAGATCATCGAGCGCCATTCTCCGAAAGACAACAACCTTCATTATCTGCCGTGCTCCGAAAACCATCATCGTAATGATAAGAATGGCCCATGATGCAGCCCTGATGGTATTTGCTCGGTCGATGGGGCTGGCTGATGTACTTCGGGGCAGGAAATATCCACTCGCTAACTTCATATTCGACATAAGGGAAAAATGGACAACGTCCAGGAAACTGACCCAGAAGGAAACGATAAGGAAATAGTGAAATGGTCAGACCTTCTTACCCCATATCACCCTAAGCATGACGAAAGAGCAGGTCATGGAGTAGAAAGGCTGTAGCTGGTAAGGCGAATTATGGGTGAAGCAGAGCCTCGCGTGTGCTTCGAGTTGTCCAGGGTGCGGGCCAAAAACAGTACACGAGGCGATCAATCCTAGAATATCGCTACAACACTTTCTTGGTACTGCTTACCTTGACGTTCAGTTCGGCAGTTCATCTCAAGCTGCTACACTTTTGTCCTGGGTAAATAGGACCTTGGCGTCTCTGGTTCGCTGTTCAGAGCCCCTCTGCCTTTTCCCTAGGATTAGTGTCCTGCGATGCACTTGTAAGCGCATAGGCAACTCGGCAACGCTGCGTCATGCATCTAATCTTGGGGTGTATAGGCGCTTGCGATGATTTGTAGATGCTGCTGACGGAGGGCGCGGCTGACATGCGCTACGTTCCTTCCGGCGGGTATGCGCGTTGGGGCGCGGGGCCATCCTCCCGCGCCCTCAACGTAGACGCGCATGAACGCTGGTGAACGGTACGAAGTGACCAAATCGCAAAACATGTTCCTTGGATGATCATCGCTGGCAGGAGGATGTTGGCCGCGGTCTACGCAGCAGCTGCGGATCGCTGGGGCTCAACGCCGATGAAACCGTGCATGGTTTGCTAGGTTGCTGTGCACTCCATCAACTGGTAGTCATTACTTTGCCTCGTAGCCTTGTCGCTGTAGCCTTGTCTCTGAAGTAGAATGCCACACCGGACTTCCTAGAACGGTGAAGACGACGGTTCCGGTTATGTAGGCTGAGGTTGGGTGCGGTTGTCTTGGGTTCGCGTAACGTGGCGCGTCTTTTCTTAGGTCTCCGTGCAGACCCCGGAAACCCATTTCAAGGCCAAGCGTGCATCCTTCCCAGGTACCGACAATGTGACTCGGCGCTTGAAGCTGTCTTATCTTGCGATTCGGGGTTCGAAGTAGATAAGGTGGCTATTCTTGTATTCGGTCCACTACTGAGCAGGTGATGCGCTCGAAACTGGAGGCGATCGAGATTGTAGAAGACATCAGTAAGCGGACCGCTCATGCGACGATTACTATAGTGATGTCGATCAGGCACAGAGCGCTTGAAGCGTGCTGATGAATCAAAAAGATAGAAAGTGGGCCAGAAGTCGTTCGCGAAGAGCGTTATTGTGTCACTGTTGTAATGGGTCGCGAAAGCCGCCAGAACTTGGAAGGATGGGAGGGCCGCTCCTTGGCCCAGCCTAGCGGATGATGTCAGCACCGCCTTCCAGCCGAGACCGCTCTCACCCACCCGTCTGAATGGCAGCTTCATCAACAGCGACAACACCAGGCAATCCCAACGCAAGATGAGAAACCAGCCGGCACAATGCGTGCTCACTCCTTGCATTACTCAGGACCAGAGTGCATTGATAATCCAGAGATGGTCACTGCGCGGATCTTCTACGGCATCCGCCGGCACGCATCTTCGTGCGCGACAGCGTTGATATACTCAATGCCCCCGACAGGCCTATCGATGCGACAGGGACAAACTCTACCTCGAAGACGGCGCAGCGATTTGGTTTCAGAGGCCAGTGTTTGAGTACCACAACGAGCCACCAGCAACCACGATAGTGCCGCTCTTGAACATCACCGTTCCATAAGCGCTTGCCTTCCTTCTGCTTGCGTGGCCTTGAGTTGGCAAGAATGTTTCAACCCACTATCTTTCCAGATCGACCTCCAGGATGAAGCGCACACTGCACTAGTGCCTGAAGATGATCGGTCCGAGCGGCGCCTGCCGGCGATCCGGGCCCTTTTCGTCTAGTCGCCCCTATTTTGGGCCGATGTCTCATACGATGCAAATACTGAAACCGACATCTCTCACTCCGAACAGTTCACTGCCACACACAGGTGGCGGCACTCCTCCATCCGGGACGGCGCCACGTACTGTTCGACCCACTTCAAAAACAAGTGGGAAACAAGCACCACTTCACAAAGCTTGGTTGAGCTTAACAGCATCAATACTCGATGCTTGTTGGCCAAAAGCATGACGAAGCTCGTGGGTCAGACATGTGAAGTCTTGGGCTTGGGCGTCTGAGCGCGCGATCAACACAGCAACACCCAACTAACGTTTGATTGCGCTGGGTATGGGTTCTCATAAGGGCCTATTGAGGATGCTTTCTTTTCTATAAGCCTACCGTGTCGAATTGTGTCCTTCGTTCAATTTCCTAGTACAAGTACCGATAACTTCTAATCTCTAATACTGTCCTTACCGGTGTCTTGGCCCGACATGAATGCCTCAGCAACGATCCGTGCTTCGTACATCCGCCAGGCGCGGATGAGCATGACGCCTCGTCCACATAGCATATCGGAGACCTTATCAATCGATCTTCAACCACGCCCCGCTTCAACCGAGAAGCTCCAATCCTTCGTTCACGTCGACCACATTGAACACCGCGAGAAATGCCACTCCGAGCGGACTTCACAACCGACCTTTTTCGATGTCGAACGCAACGCCGATAACAGCCAAGCATACATCGACGACAGCTATCTCGACACCACTTCTGTCATGGAATGGGACAACAACAGCTCCTTCAAAGTGCGGCTAAAATCCATGTTCACCGTCTTTCCTTACCGCGACCCTATCTACCTCGTAGCGATCATCTTCCTCGTTGGTTCCATCGACCTCGTCATCAACGCCACCTTCGATCTACTACCTCGCCTCAACCCCTCCACGGAGTTCGAAACCGAAGAGACTGTCGCCGTTCCTAGTACGATATTGATCGGATCGATATTCTTCTTCGTCGCAGGCATCTTCGACACCTTCAGTGCTCTGAATGCGGACCGCGGTACACTTGAAACATCAAAGTTGGAGCCTGAGAAAGTCAGATACCGGCCAGCGCTCCTTGGCACACCCGAGTTCAAATGGATACCGTCATGGGAGAAGGTTTGGGAGTTGTCGGCCACCAACTTGGCCTTCCAGGCTGGTCTCATCGTTCTCTTTGGGGGCATCATCTTCATGTTCGCTGGTATCGTCGACTTCCCCGGCGTCGTCCCAGAAGAAGACCCTCTCTTTGGTTACATCGTTTTCGGGCCGCAGGTGATACACGGCGCGCTCTTTTTGGTCGCGAACGCTATGCTGGCGTTTTCTGAACAAGAGCGCTGGTACAAGCCCAGGTTCTTCCACTCGGATTGGCAGAGCGCCATTCTTAATGCGCTTGGTGGGCTCGGCTTCATGATGGCTGGTTTCTTTCTCTTTCAGGGTGGGGAGAATGAGGAACGGGGCAAGGTGCATGCAGCTATAGCGGCAATGGCAGGGAGCTGGGCTTTCTTGGTAGGCAGTGTGATCAGGTGGTATGTTGTTTTGGAGTTCTGGTAGTGCTTACGACGACGGTGTTACTGTGACTTTTGTATCGGGATGTACCTCAACTCGTCTAATTATGACCACATTCATTAGCGTTCTTCTTTCTTGTCACGTCAGTCTAGGAAAGGCTAGACACTCTAGAGCCTACATCCGTGTTAGGTTACCTATTTTGCATGGTTTTGTCTTAGTGTAGTCGGCAACCTGTTTAGTTCTCTTGTATAAGGTCTGGTGTTCAGCGCATATTAGATAGAGATCGCTCATTCATTTATCCACTTTGTGGTCCGTCCACATCACGGGATGTTTATCGCCTCCACCTTCTGCGTATATATGAACGCCGCTCCACACCCAGGGCCCGCTCTCAGTTTCGTAACGGCCAACTTCAACGCGCGAATACGTCAATCTCGCCCAAGTTACACCAAGATCGCAGTCAACCATGGTTTATACGAAGACACGCAAGGTCTCGACGCTTGTGGAGCTGCGTGCAAATGGATACCAGTGAGTCCCATCACCAAATGAAAATAGACCGCACGCTGATGAACACGCAGAGCCGCCAAGAAAATTGAACCGCTTCAAAGTACCGTCGACAGTTTCACCTTTACTGCATGCCCCAAGGGACACGGAGCCCGGCGTGTAAGACTAAGGGCGCAACTGCGACGAGCTAAGAATCGTCTGTATCACACGGCTGTTGAATGCTCCCGTCTAGAATCCCCACCAATACTACATGCCGTGCAAGATCACCTACCGCGAGAGCTGCGTGACATGGTCTACGCCGAGCTGATGGATTTCAAGAACCCGTCGTTTGACATCTGGTTGGAGGGCAGTGGATACGTACTGAAGACCACCGATAAACCACGCTCTACATTTTTCCACCGGACCAAGATGGCAGCTAGTGTCGTCGATCGAGGCCAAGATCCTTACTACATCGATCCATCCATCGTCGGCAAAGAGTCAGCTCTAGAGATCCTACAACTTCGTTACCGACGTGGCCAATTTAATATCCACCACGACGCGCTAATAAGCAGGGTTCTCAACCAAGATGCGTGGAAGCAGGACATCGTACCAAAACGCTGGCTCTCCAAAATCAGCATCTACATGCCAGAGGACATTTACCAGGTTGAAGAGCGTAGAATTCTACTCCGTCAGCGCTTCGACCTACTACAGCAACTCACCAATACCCGAGCACGTATCCAAGTGATCTTCCCTAGCAAAGAGATGTACTGGCATTCCCAAATTGGTCCTTCGCGTAAAGGATATGAGTGTCTACTTCCCACCGACCCAACTATACGCCAAGCCATGTTAGCTACTACCGAACGACTATCAGTCTCGAATGTTGGGACCGAGATCGATGCCGCTGTTCATAACGAGAACGTTCATATCATCATGGAGGCCATATTCCCGTGCCTGACGGCCTTGAAGGCTCGAGGCCACCAGATTCACTTGGACGATAGGATTAGCGGGTGGACATGGACGGCGGGGGAGGGAAGCGCCACGTTCACCGATACGTGGACTAATCGCCGGCAGTTCCGTAAGGTATGTCGTCAACCTGAGTCTTGTATAAGAGTGTATGGCACTAATCAGATTCAATAGGTGAAAGTCCGCGAGTATATGAGGCGATCTCCGCATCAGATGTACCCTTCGGGACGTAATCTGGATGCTGGTGAGAAGGCGGAGATGAGGGCGGAGGGTCAGATGATGTGAACACGATACCAGGAAGGGCTATAATGCGTGTCGGATTTGCAGCATATACACTGCTAAATCCTAATAAGTGATCATTTCCTAAGACGATGTATACCCCTGCTCAGATAGTGGCTTTACTTTTTGCAGAATGCAATACGAAGTGTAAGCGCTGCTTCGCCCAGGACGCGAAACTAGTAGCTTTGCCGGTTCAAATTACGTCAATCGCAAGGTTCGCTATCTGTTGAGCTCTCGGGGTGGCGGTACTTCTTATTTGGGGGCATTCTTTTGCGTGTGGGTCGTATGAAATGCGGAGGATAGGATTGGCGTCTAGTCCTCAACCTTGGTTCGTATGGAAGATTAGGCAGAGAAACGTAAAAACATAATCAACCCTTAACAAGTCACTCAATCTTTGTTGACGCGTTCCTTGGTGTACTGGCACCTGGGCAACGGTGCCTTTCAAATTTGCCTCTTTAGGACTAGTTTTTCAGCTAGCGGAGTGTCACAACCCCGGGCCCATACCTGGGTCCTTTGGTGCTTTGCGTAATACCAAAACAAATCACCCAATAAATTACTCAGGTGTCTGCGATGTTTACAACTCATACCAGTGGTGACCAACTCGGCTTCGTAGATGTCTTCGGACGCTCTTCGCCTGCCTCGACGGAGTATGAACACTACCGTCTCCGAGCTTTCAGGTCAGTCAGGGCTTTCTGTCGTGAGGTAAATAACCTCAGCTAACGTCCAGGATGTCAGTCTACATGTTATTGCGGAGAGACTGAGAGCCGAGAAGGAACGATTTGACTCTACGCTGCAAGAGCTGAACTCGTGGAAAGAAAAGCAGCTTTCGACTCTCGAGGGCATCGAGAAACGACTTGATCCAAGATCCCAAAGCGAAAGCGGTCCACCGTCCCTCGCAGACCCAGCCAGCAAGGACACAGCTACGTTGAAGCTCGGCTTGGCAGAGCGTCGTATCAATGCAGAGCTTCGGAAGCGTTCCGGGGTTGAACCGAAGGAACTGTACATCCACCAGACGCTCGCGGAGGTCCTCAGAGAATACGCCAAGCTCGTACATCCCAGTCTCCTCGACAGAATGTTCGGATTGCTACCAACAGGGGAACTACCACGAGAGGTTAGGGACATGGTCTACGACCATCTACTCCCTAGAGAGAGCACTTACACCATTAAGTCAGCAAGTGACAACACTGGCTTCTCCATCCACAAAGGAGCATCGGACGGTATTATACCTACTCCACCAATCAGCTGTCCATACCCCATGATATCAACCACCCACCCACTAGCCGATGAGATCCTCGAAAGATTCCATTGGAGAACGACGTTCATCATTCAGAAGTATATGTGCGTACAGCCGTTGTCTATCCACCATATTCTCGCAAATCTTCCGTGGTGGTCGAACATCGATGCAGGTGCACTCCCCAAAAACATCGCCGGCCGTATCACCTTCGTCATGCGTTTTGACAATAGTTGGAGGATTGAGTCAGATATGGAGGAGACTATTGGAGATTTGAGAAAGATCTTGAACTCAGCCAGTCTCGGCGTAACTGTCTCTCTATCGATCTTTCCTGCTGATAGTAAGCGCGGCGCCGAGTTCCTCGATCTAGTAAAACCACTCTTGCTTGAGTGGCAAGAGAAGGGCCACGAGATTCGCATGATCGACTTGGCTTGTTGGACAAAGATGCACAGGTGCAAAGAGCCACCAACATGATGGCGGAGTGCTGCGTTTCTAGTAGTCTGGCTCGGATGGGTCTGGGTTCCACACGCGACTGCCGTGGGACTCGTGGTGTGACGTGGGGAGAGACTGCAGGTGTGGGGTCTTGGCAGGCGGAAGATGCCGAGGTTGTGGATGAAGTACGTCACGCCGGGCTTGCCGTGTTCACATCATCAATCAATCAATCAATACGACAGCATGCTTGGCGGAACACAGCCTCTGAAATCTCATCTTGCGCAATTCTTTGAGCACTGCCAGCCAGACTGAGCAACTGCTTGCGTGCTTTTCCAGATTTTCGCAGCCATGTCTCGCCCAAACATCAACGCGCCAATACCCTCATACGAAGAGGCCGTCGTCGCGCCTCCGCCCGCCACAATACCACAACCTCCTTCCGAACCCGCCGTTGCCGAACAACCTGCTGTCGACCCAGAGCCAACACCCACCATCGTACCAGCATCGCCTCCGCCCGAGCTACCGCCCGCATACGCAACCGTCGACGAAAAGGCCACGACCTTCACCATCTACGGCACCTTCATCCACACACCCAACGCGCCCGCCTACCAACTCTCCTCCCTCCTCGATGCGCGAATCAACAAGCTGCGGATACGGAGGCTGAAAGCCGAAGAGATCACGTTCCTCCAATCCGGCGCACCGACCGTCGCCTTCGACAGCAGCAGCGTGCTATACGAAGCCCACGACCCGCCCTTCCTCATCAACGAATACTACATCCAAGGCAAAGCAGGGAGCACACTACCCGGCGCTTTGCAATTGCGCTTCGGCCTGCGCCGATGGCATGTAGTGCATATGCCCACGCAGGGCAGTCGACCGAATGAGATTATGACGTGTGGGAAGCCAGGAGGATTCACAAAGGCACTGAAGCAGAGGAAGAACGAGCTGGAACCTAGCCAGTGGAAAGACAGCGAAGGACATATCGTTGCGACGGAGGTGTTGAAGATGGGGCCTGGAGGCAAGATGCCGACGATAGAGCTGAGGCATGATCTAGACCAGACATGTCGGGAGTTGATATTGGCGCTTTGGGTGGCTCGGCTGTGGGCGGCTTTTGGAGCGGGAAGCGGATATGCTCATTGAGGTTATCATCACAGATCAACTGGTTCATGCGCATTTTAGAATCCGCTCCACGTCGAAGACGTGATTCGATCTGGAGCGAATTCTAAAATGCGCATGAACTAGTTGAACTTGGTGCACATCACGAGAAGAGACATCACAGCCAGGGCACACTACAACCACCGTCAAACCATCTTATCATTGACGCAACACCACCACCTCCGTCAAAGCAACACCCTACTCGCTACGAACAACCCTCTTAAATCCCTGCTGCGCAACCTGGTCCTGCGCCGCCGCAATCACCGCATCCGCATTCGGGTCCGTGAATCCACAGCCCGTCTTTCCGTTCTGCTGGCTAGCCGCCTCAGCAGAGCACACGCCGTCGCCGGTCGCAGCGACCTGACTGCAGCATGCGGAACTGCAATCGGCATCTGAGACGCAGCCGCCGGTGATGAACTGCGAACCGTCGCCTGCGCCGACGTTCTTGGCGCCTGCGTTGTTGGGCGTGACTTGCGCCATGGAGATGGCGGCCACTGGGGGGAGTTAGCATAAGGCATCTCGGGGCTCCTGCCCATGGCAGGTGTAAAATGGTGGTCGCTTACAGGTGAGGAGAGTAGCGATGGAGAAACGCATATTGCTAGTTTTGGGTATCGAAATATGATCGGGAGGTAGATTATGTATTGTACGTTTGAACGAATGACACCAGGTCAGCTTTTGCAGTCACAGACGCAAAGAAAGAATGGAATAGAAGTGGGTTGTTTGTAGTGCGAAAGAGATGTTGCTTGATAGTCTTCCAACACAACGGGCGACGCAGGCTTCTTATGCTTTTCCTCAAGCACCCGCGATGTACACCCCGCAGTACGCTTCCAGTGCATCGTGTCATGCTCTCCGTGGCGCTGAGGCTGTCGCTGTGTGATCGTCTTGTCGCCTGCGCATCCAGGCGCCGGGTGTCGGAGGCGATGTACCTATAATGGAATGCGGATATAACGTGCATGATTCATGCTGTTGGTTGACTTGCACCTGACTTGTGCTATTGAGCGGTTTGCTGGTGACGCGTCCTCTGGGAGATGTGTTCTGGCCTATCAGCGGGGTCAATGCCGTGGCGGATGGGTCTCGTTGTGCTGTCGCAGGAGGCGTTTCAGAGGGGTTCACGTGATCGGAGGGTGTGCGGAGTGTGTCAGATGTGTCGGGTGTCTTGGCGGGGAGTTTGACGTTTGACGGAGGTTGATATCACGAACATCTATCGATCTGATTGCTTCCTTCACTTTGCGAATGCTAATCGATACTTGCACCTTTGGGACGCGGTATTGTTGTCGCGCTATGTTGCATCATTTCAAGCGAACTGTGCGCCCTCACCAACATCAACAACCTGATGCCCAGGACTGGGCGGCACATCGCCTGACTCCCACACAGTCTGTTGCTCTCCAAGCCTGAAGACAATCTCGCCTCCCTCCGTCATGATGCCGCCCGCGTCTTCATGCTCGAACCAATTCTTGTCCCAGGCCTGCCCATTGATACTTACACCCTGGACGTAGTACCCCTGCTTTCCGTCTCCATCGTCTAAACCGTCGGCCCTGATCCTCAGCGTCCTTTCATGATTAACAGTAATGTTGATGTCGGAGAACCAAGGACTTTCCAGGAGATATACGGGGGTAGTGACGATGGGATATAGCCCCAGCATCTGCCAAATGAGCCAGCAGTTCAAGGCACCCGCGTCGCTGTTCCCCGGTATACCGTTTGTTGTGTTGAAGTAGAAGTCATTAGCAAGCTGTCGGCTTCGCTCGACGCTCTTCCACTGCTTGTTAAGGTAGTTGTATAGATACGGTGTTTCGAAGTCGGGTTCGTTCGCGACGTTGTTGATGGTCGTTATACCAAGTCCGTTTACGCCGAGGTCTACGCCAGACGTGTTTGGTTGGAATACGTAGTCGAGGCGTTCCTCAAAGTGCGAAGGACCTCCCATTAGCGTAATGACGCGCGAGATGTCGTGAGGAACGACAAAAGAATACTCTACCCTGTTGTTAGTGTACAAGTAGAAGATGAATGCATACAGGCAGGCAGCGACTCACCAAAAGCAGTGCCTTCGTAGCTCTCATCTTTCCAGTTACAATCGCCGCAGTCAGTAATGTCGTAGGTCTTGTGGAAAGTACTATTCGCGTATCGCGGCATAACGAAACCGGAAAAGTTTCGACTCGCAGACTCAGGATCCCAACTCATCTGCCAACCTGCGGAACGACGGAGATAGAGGTCACGGTCTCCAGGCGCCTCACCAGCTGCAATTTGGCTGACAGCGAAATCGTTTAGTGAGTACTCTACTGTCTTTGAGACTGCACGCGTGCTGCGATCAGCCGAGACGTAGCCGAGTTCGATCCAGTCTTTCAGCGCACCACGACCTTCTTTCAGAGAGCCGTACGGATCGACTGGGTTTTCGTCGAAGAAAGGCAAGACATCGGCATCCTTCTTGACTGCTGCATAGCCCTCTGTCCAATTGATCATACCCGTCAGGCCCTTCACGTAAGCATCTGCCAGAACGTTGTCGGCGTTTGATCCTCCCTGGACCAGACCGTTGTAATTGCCAGATCGGCCATCGGGAAGATAACCTTCCTGCTTGAACATATCGATCAGAGAGCGGATCATAGACTCATAGTAGCTTGGTTGAATGAGGTGCCAGAGCGAGACCTGGTTTCGGAATAGATCCCACATAGTGTAAAAGTCTTTTAAACTAAGTCAGCATATGTCTCACATGCACTTCGTGCAGTCAGAACTTACCATCCCAATATGGCTCATCCGATTCCCACAGCGGGTTCTCACCTACACGCTCGCTAGGTATTAGGTGCATGAAATACAAGCTGGAGTATAGCAACGCCAGCCTGGTCTTGTTTGCCGACTCCGAAGTGTCAACGCGAATCTTGGAAAAGACATCGCGGTTCCACTCGTCACGCGTCGCTTGCGCAGTATCCTCGATTGACCACGAGGACAGCTCGGCGTTCTTGTACGAACATGCCTTGTCAACAGACATGAAGGAGATGCCTACTCGCGATTTGATCTCGGTGACATTAGTCCAAGTGAATACTGCTCCAACGCGGTCGTTCATCGGCCCTGACCGGGCTGTTGCTCCTGTATACGTAGGCCGAGGTGTTGTGCCATTATTGAACGACCGGAAGTGTCGACCGACTGGGAATGTGTTCTTTCCCTTGAAAGCACGCGCCTCGTCAGGTAGACTATCGAACTCGCCGCATACGTACACCTAAACGTAGGTGTACGAAGTCAGTACATGTCTCACATGCAGTTCGTACAGCGATATTCCTTACCACAACTGGTGCTCCGATGTTCCACCCACCAGCTATTGATGTGTATCCAGTGTATGTGCTGTTGTTCGGTTGAATCTCAATCTCGCCGCCTGTGTAGAATTGAGAATCCCATGAGCGTGTCAGATGGGGCAGGTAGTGCGACAGGTCAACCAGAACGTGCTTCTCGGACGAAGACGGGTACGTGTAATGGTATAATCCTGCGTGCCGAGATGCCGCGAGCTCGATCTTGACACCAGATTCAAGCTCGGTACGGAAGTAGCCAACTTGCGCAACGTCCTCGCCAACCTAGAGGCTTGTCAGAAGCTACCTATGCGTGACACTTGATGACCCTACTCGATCCTGCCAGTAAGTCCGATTGTCCAGCAAATTGACATCGCCATCAATGCTCGTCAGCGGCATCTGTGAGGGGTATCCATATTTCGATCCTCCGCCGGTTCCTGACTGGTGCATCAAGCTGATGCCAGTCACATGGCCTTGAGGTGTATATCCGCCGTTGAGCGCACTCTGGTTGATGGGCTCTTCATACGTGTCGATACCCAGTTTGACCATGCCAAATGGTACTGCGCCACCCACGAATACATCACCGCCACCGTCTGGTATCAGTTAGAAGTGAGCTTGATGCATATTTCTGGGCATCTTGCATGCGTAGCCAGGTATTGCGCCTTCAGTCCCGATGAATGGATTCACGAACTGCGAATAATCGACGTCTTGTGCTATTGCGCATGGCGCAAGTACCAGCAGAGACAATAATCGGGTTCCCAACATCTTGAGGACAATTGATGTAGACGGACGAGTTGTAGTTTCTTTTACCTCTTATGCGTCCCAGCCGTTGGTGCACCGCTTTCCAAGGTACCCCGCATGCGCGCATCGCTCCCCAGGCGGGCGTTGTCGGTTTCACACCCTGATTGAGCTTTAAGGTTACATCGTCAATGAATCCTTCGTCGATAAAGCCGTTGCAGCGGGTTATGACGTTGGCTCTCGGGTCCCTCTTCCCCGTCAGGCACCTGCCAAGATGCGGAGACGGCACGTGATGTGGCACGTGCGCACTCTCGGAATCATCTTCCGAGGGAAAGGACGCGTCTTTCATCGACTCTATCGAACTCCCAACTTCACTTCGTTGGCGCTCAACAAGAACGCATTCTCTTCTTCGATGAAACATATGTGTTGAGCGATGCACCTCGACGGCATTTGCTTGTCCCAGCGCCCCTTCAGTCAGACAAGGACCACCTACTGGCCACACCTTTCGCACCAACCCCGACCGATTGAGCCGACTCCCTCCAAACCTCAACGTTGTGTACATGACAACATTACATTAACACCAATGGTCAAGACACATCGCTTGTCTTTGTGCTGAATCCTGAAGCCTATCTTGTTAGGCCCATCAGGCATGTGCGTCACTCAGTGTGAGCATCGGAGCTCCTCACATGTCTTCCTCTTTCGAGTTTGATCTACGAGATAACATGTCGAACCTTATGCATGCGTGTAGGTCATCGCTGCGAAAACCAAAACTCCGAGGCAAATGCATCGATCGAAGTCGTCTGGAAGTGCCGGCTCTCTAGTATTCTGGATGGTGGGCTCCAACGCATAAGTTTGGGCCCTAGCGCAGATGCCCTACACTACACAAAACATGAAGTTGACGTAGAGAGAATTTAGGAGGGGAGATGGTGTTGATTTAGTCGATGGCGAGTGTGAACCCGAACGAGCTAGGCTGGCCGA